CCAGGCGTTTGAAAGACTCATTTGGATTCAGTTATGATTCCTTTTTGAACAATGTGAAGGTTGCAGTTGTAGCTGCAGCTAATTTGCCTTTGGCAAAGCTAGCCAAGAAGTTGGAGGAGGTCCTCTGATGTCATGCGATGGCGGATTCCAACGCAATAGCATTTTTCTCTGGCTATTTGATATTCTTGAAACTTGTAGACAGGACAACACTTCTCACTCTTTGTGCAATGATGAACATTCGGCTTCTGCCATTAAATTGATTTCTGCGTTGTACGACAAAATTTCCACCGATTTCTCTGGCTGTTATTTGTTTATGTACTTTTCAGAAAGAGTCTCTCCAAAAAGAGTTTGAGGATTTGGGTTGGAATGTTTTGGCCATACTGTGTAACAACTAGGTCTTCGAGTAGAGCTGATGGCCTTGGAGACTCTTCGGAGTTTCTCAAGGATGACACGGTGGCGTGAGTCGTGCTAAGCATGCTCTCCTCGTTATAGCTGACGTTGAAATACTTCGATGTAGAATTATCTGGAATCGGTTCATCTGTTGTGCAACTGAGTTCACTCAAATTGTCGGTCCGGAATATCTTCAAGTCCTCCAGTCGGGTAGTTGTATGCGAGATAGGTTCGGTCAATTGTTGTCTTCGTCGGGTCGGATGGTCGGTGACTTTGTGGATGAGCAGTATCCCCCTCAACAGCAACAACAACAGCCTTCAACATCTTCATATGGTTTCGGCCGCACTTCTGGATCAACTAATAATTGGAGCAGAAATGATAGGAATTCTAGAGATAATGAGTGGTTTGAAAAAGACTTAAATTTTAATAAAAATAATATAAATACTAATTTATCAAATTACAGGAAAAGACCAGCTGAACAAACCTGGAAAGAATATGCTAATACAAATTTGAGAGGAGCAGGACATGTTTAGGACATTTTTTTTACATGTTACATGTTTCAACTGTGGGCGCACTGGACATATTGCTCGAAATTGTAATTGGAATACTTGAAGGAAGAATGAGAGTTGGAGAGGCAGAGGAGGAAAATATTAAATTTGTGTTTTTAATCAATTAAATTTTTTTTTGTACTTTAAATCACATTCTCACTTCCTTTTAATTATTTTAAACTGAATTTTATTCATTAATGTAATGTCATTTACAAATCTTTCCCATTATTTGTTTTGGTTTTATTAATCTTAAATTTTTTTTATAACATGCCTTACCTGTAATTTCAATTCCTTCACTTAATCAAAATTATTTAAATTTATTAATTCAATTTTAATCATAGTTCATTTATTTATACATTTTAAATGTCAATCAAAATGTTTTCCCAATATTTCTTACCTATTGCTAATATATACTTAAATTTTTTTTTAACTTATGCCAATTTGTATTATTCCACTTATAATTACATTTTGTCATTTTTTTTTACAAAATTTTTACCCTCACTTAAATACATTTTATAATTATATTTTTAAGCTTAAACTCTCACTGATTACATTAAATTTAATACATTTATTAGTTTCATATTTTAAATGTTTAAATTCTCAAATTTCACTTAATTTGTTACAAATTTTTACAATTATATTTATAAGACTTACTCCCTCACAAATTATTTACATTTACTCTATTAATTTTTAAAGAATCTTTCACAATTACATTTAAAAATATCCCAAATTTTTTTTAAATTACTATTTATGCTCTTCTATTATATAATTCCCAACTTCAAAATTATTGTTTTTGCAAACTTTTAAAATATACCCATTTATACCCACAAATCAAATGTTATTTATGTCAAAACTTTTACATTAATTTTAAATGTTTATTCAAAATACTTAAAACTTTTTCTATTAACCTTTCAACCAAACCATTTATACCCAAATTTATTTTGTACGTTATTTTTAGAATATTCCTTTTCCAATTCTCTAAATATTTTCTATTACAAGTTTTACTCCACTCATTTGTACCCAATTTTTTTTTGTCACATTTCACAAACACTTCGGTAGTTTTCTGGATATTTTTAAATTTTATTTCACACAATTGATTTATGAATTTATATTTTTATTCAAAGCGTTACCCGTTTAATTTATTTTATAATTTCACAAACATTTCAATGTCACAATTTATCCTTATTTTTAATTTTTGAAATTTATATGCATTTTTACTCGTACCCATATTTTAATACAAAAGGAAACATACTCACCTGAAACCTGAAGAAATTTTAGGAATACAACCCCAACTAGACTAAACAGACTCTGAAACTCTTACAATTACAATTATATCAAACCCCACTACTTAATAATATCAAGTGAAATTTCTCATGAAATAATCGATAAGCACTAAAAATGGACCAGGGTCGGTCCAAAAAAGGAAAAAGGAGAGATATGCTCGAAGAGCACAAAAAGAAATGTGATAAATAAAGAAGAAATTTAAATTAGGTTCGCCATCTCACCAGAGTGCTTATCGATTGAGAAAATAAATGTGAATGGTCATTATTTAAGTAGTTTGGGAAACGATGAAAAATTAAATTTTGAAAAATAAAATAAAGTCTGTTAAGTCTAGATTAAGACCAGGGACGGTCTTGATGGGGAAGGGACGTGTAAGGGTCAAAGGTATTCTCGGAGTTTGTTTCCTATAGTTTATAGTCATTTCATTATTATTCATTTCCCTCCCACTTTTCTCACACATTTAAAAGGATTTGTAATCACCTTACAAGTGTCTTATTGTTCTTTCACTTTAATAAAAGAATTAAATAAATGCTTTAATATTTGGATTTAATAAATATATAAATTGTGTGTTCAATTGTGTATGCCTGGTGCAGGAGATCAACTGGGGGCCTGATCAACCCTTAAGTTTATCCTAGGAAGTCCCGGGCATATTCCCTCCCGTATTCCATTATTCTGGGGTTTGGGCCCACCGCATTGGTTATATCTTATTCCGGGGGTCCCACCTCTACTATATTATACCTATTTTAACAAAAATAATTTTATTATTTAATTAATAAAATAATTTATTTAATTAAACAGTGGCCATAAAAAATATATTTTTAAGTAAAACAAATTAAAAAATGTAAGAGAAAGAGAAAATTAGAAAATATTATTTAAAGGCCAAAGCTGTCAGGTAGCAGCAACAGACTGTCAGAAGATATTGAATGATTTTATTCGATGAACGCTCGTTTGAAATATAAACTGCTACTATTTTTATTAATTATCGATAAACTCAGCTAAATTATAACTCTATTATTCCTCATTTATTGCAGAAAAATAGCAACTTCAAATCCGGGGGTGGAAATATATGGAGTGGTTTTGTAGACTTGTCAGGGATGAAATTATGGACAATTTTTATGATAAATTATATCAGATTATGTAGAAGTCTCCGTTAAAATATTTAATTTTTTAATTATTCTATTTCTTAAAGTAACAAAAAAATATTTTTTTGTTTAACAAAAGAACAAACATAAAAATATCCTATTGTTTTCATCTCAAACATTCTTCGATAACAATACTTAAATTTAGAAGAGGTAGTAATTATAATGATGATAAGTACTTCTTATACAAAATATTTTTATGCTTATAGTTTTTAGAATAATTGTAAATCGTATAAATCAAAGAAAAGAACTTTAAAATTAAAAAAATTTTTATTAAAGATAAATGTGATTTTAAAGTCTAAAGATTACAATTCGACTACCTAATTAGGTAATTCCAAGGCTGGTCCCCCCCTTTTTTTCTGTTCCCCTGACCATTTTGAGATTTTTTTCTTGAAATATAATTTACAATATATTATTCGAAAGAGCTGTTCGAGCTGAGTAGAATGATACTATGATCGGATAGATTTGTCGATTTTGAACCAAATTATGAAGGTAAATTTTCTATGGACATGCTTTTTGTGATGTTGAAAGGGATTAAAACAAATGGTCATAACTATGTTTATTTAAGTCGGATTTCGATAAATTTAGTACCGTTCTACTCAGCTTGAAGAGCCCTTTCGAACGGTTTATAAGTTGCCATAAAAAGTTTAAAAAATCGAAAAAAATAGAAAGGAAAAAAAGGGGGACCAGCCTTGGAATTACCCCTAATTAAATTTTGGTCACTTGCCAAGAAGACACGTTTTTTCGGACTTGAAGTGTGGGGACAGTTGGACAGTACTTGGACAGTACTTCAAAAAATATTTCAAAAATATTTTCATCAAATTTTCTACGAAATAGTCTGGAACTTCATTTTTCTAAAAAAATATTTTTTACGCACGTTCACTTTACATTAAAAATGCTCAAAACCTCCTAAAATACCCAAAAATATTCAATTTCCTGGCCTTTATCTCCATGAATTTTTTAACGGAAAATTTACCTAAGTTTGTAGCAAATTTTATGGCTTTCAGATAGATATTGAGCTTTAATTAGATAACAGAATAATAACAAAACAGAATTACTAAATTAGAATTCAATATCATTTTTATCTAATCAAGCTTCTTTTGAATTTCAAATTTTTCATGACAAATTATTTTTTTTATTTTATTTTTACTCACAAAACTTTTTATGTATGTGTAACAGTCTTAAAGCAAATATATTTGAATTTATTAATGCAAAATTGCCTAATTACATTCTTTTATCAAAAAAAACAGACAAAACTTTGAATATTTTCACTTGCCATTAGTTGACCTAAATAATTACAACAGTAAATAACCAAGTATAAAATGCCTGTCCATTTACATTTTTTAATCATTTATTCATTTTATTTACTAAATATCTACTAGGTTTCTATTTAATTATCAATATATTTTTTAACATAAATTTTAAAATAATACGTAACATAAAATCATTTATTTATAAAAATCTTTTGACAATCGAATTTGCTTTACGTATATTTAAATATAGCTTTAACTGGCTTTAACTGACTGAAAATATAGCTTTAATTGCCAAAATAGAGAAATTTTACCTTCTACCTTCTGTTTTTAAATTTATCATTTTATTTTGTTTAAAATTTTCCTAATAATTAATTTATTTTTAAGCATTATCAAATTTTAAGCATTATCAAATTCTTTCCATGAAAATGGCCCGCAAATTATCTACCATATCTATCGCTAACTCGCTTGACGACATTGAATCTTGTACCAACTCGGAGTGTTTAACATTTCGTGATGAAATGATTAAACGCTTGACTGCTATGGACGAAAATCTCAAGAAAAACACGGACAAATACGATAGTCTTTGTACTATTGTAATGGAGTTACAACTAGAGTTGCACCCCGACCCCGTACCCCGAACCCCGACCCCCGTTCCCGAAAGATTTTTCCAAAATTTCCCCGACCCGAACCCCGCCCCGAAAAAAATGAAAACCCCGTCCCCCGACCCGAAAAAGTTTCGGGGTTTTCGGGGTATACACCCCTAAAAACGCCATTTTTAAGGAGAATTTAAAGAGAAAAATTTTAGAAACTTCCTCCCAATTTGCTTTGCCTTTATTATTTTTGTAAGAAAAGTGAATGAAATATCAATATTGTATTTCCATTTTAACGAAACGACTTGTGGTTGAGTGGTTTAGTTGTTGGTTTTGTCTATATTTCTATTCATATAGGGTAGGGTTCGGATCCAAATAAGGAAACCTGTTTGTTTTGTTATTTTTCTTTACAAAAACAAGCGTTAAATTTTAATTTTAAAAGTTTAATTCTATTTTTAAATATTATCAACCATAAATTTTTAGTTTAGTCTAAAAATTCTAAAATTTTCGTCTGTGGCTCTAAAAAAGGAAGATTCTAGCTTCTTTGCCTTCAAAAATTCTCACACTCCTCGCCTGCGGCGCTGAAAAGGAAGAATCTCTCAACTCCTCCCTATTCCTTCAATATCCTTCTAAATAACTGGTATCCCTTGAACCACCCTTAATCCTTCGAAACCCTTATATCAGCAGATAAGTCAGTTAATCTCTTCAAATCTTCCATAATCCGCCCAAATTTATTTAGGTACTCTTGTGTTATCTCCCCCATTTTATTCTTCTTCCCCTTTTATTTCTCAAAAAAGTACACATGGGTCAAATTGAATCTATGTCGTGAGTTGAATCTATGTCGAGACCATTTAATCCCTAAAATCCCACTTAATCCCTTCAGATCCGCTTATATACCCAAATATACTCTTTAATCCCTTCAAATCCAATTTAAAGTCTCAAAATCCTACTTAATTTTTGAAAAAATTAACGAAAATAGACCAAAACTAATTATTTTTTAACATTTTTTTCTCTAAAAAATTATTTACAAAACCCCCGTACCCCGACCCGAACCCCGACCATATTTTGGTCCCCCGACCCGTACCCCGCCCCGAAACAATTCGAAAACCCCGTACCCCGACATACCCGCCCCCGAGCGTTCGGGGTGCAACCCTAGTTACAACTAAAAGTTACTAATGTTTATCAACAAATTGGAGAAATTCATGTACGAAATTAAAAAGAAAATTTTTAATTTTTTTGTATTTCTTAGCAGTCTGGAAAGCAACAAGAAGCTGACTCAACGATGGAACAACTCAAAAAGTTGGTGGAACGAAACATTCCACCACAACCTATAACGGTGAGTTTAAAGGAAAAATAGTAGTGAGAGAGATATGTAGTAGAGGCGTGTAGCTCTTGGCCCTGGTCTTGATTCCAGGAATTTTTTCGGTCTTGGGGTAAAGTCTCGACTTTTTGGGTATTTTTGAAAGATACATACCTAAAGACCGATAAAGTATGTTAAAGAGAAAAATAGTCTCTTGAGATCTCTTAAAACCTTTCAGAAAATCATTAAATGCTTAATTTCAAGATGTTTGTTTTGTCCAAGAACAAATTGGCAAAAATTGCTGAGGTTATGAGCTGTTGTGATTCGAAATGTTTGCCTGCCGGTTCTCTTTGCCGTAATGGTAATGGAATCGTCAAGATACAGAAATGCGGTATTTTGGCAAAATATCTGAGTTCTACTCAGAATCTTGGTTATTATTATTTTTCTGAATATTTATATAAATAAAAATCTTTTAAAGAGGGTAATCATCCAATAATGGTCGTTGCTGAGAGTGAATTTATGAGGGCTAATATCCCTTCTGACGTCTCAGGACAGACTTATGTTGTCTTTTATGCTGAGATGAAGGTCATTCCGGACACCGATGAGAACATTGAGTGGGTTTTGAGTGTTTAAAAATTTTACCGTATTTTTCCGAAAGTTAGCTAGACTAAAATTTCTACTCTTTCCGATCAGACCCACACTTCCAATGCTAAATTAAAAATTTTTTTAGTTGTAAAGCAGAAATTGGTCTCTACAAAGATGCCAATTGCTTCTTCCGCGTTAGTAGTGATGGTCACTATTACACTGCTACTACCAAGCGAATGTTTAGCGAGCCTCTTACTGGCAGTGTTGTTTTTGGAGTTGGTCAGATCTTTCCTCCACGCAACAAGCCGAATGCACCGACACAAATATTCTTTACAATGAATGGGAAACAAATCGGTTTGGACATTTTAAATTTTTGTTTTAATATGGTTATGACCGACACTGATTTTCCTTTTAATCTCCTTAGAATGAATTTTTGAAAGAAAATGAACTTTTCTGGTAAAACACGTTACCGTTAAAGGGAACCCCAGTACATTCAGTATCACACAAAATTAATAGCTTCATAAATCGCTCAAATCTAACCCAATTTTCTCATTACCTCTAATTATTAAATCTAAATTTTTAAGACAAGACAATTCTGATGTCAGAAGATGTTGATCTTCTTCCACACATCATTGTTAAGAATTGCGATGCAGAGGTCAACTTTGGCATGGATGACAACAAGCCTTTCACTTACGACATTGGAAAGCACGAAGCTGCTTATGAGAATCAATGGAATTGAAAGGATTTGAAAATGTTTTTTAAGTTATTTTTACAATATAAAAACTTTTTTAATTTTGGTAATTTTATTTTAAATAGTTGAGATTAGAAAAAATATATCAGTCAACAATTGGTAAATACATAGAAGTATTTTGGATAATACTAAATTATAGTTAAATATACTTTATTCACTTGTAAATAATTATTCTTCTAATCTCATTGTCAACTATATATTTATATAACCACTCTGTATCCAACACATACTTTCTTTAAAATGTAAATTGTTTTTCTTGTAAAATTTAATACTCTTTTTTCTAATTTATCGATAAACATTTAAAGATTTGATTAATTTTTGATACCTATAAATAATTTTTAAAAAAACGTCCTTAAGAGGAACTAGGTATTTAGAACACTTACGAAGACTAACAATTTTATTTTAGAAATCTGACAAATGTGAGAAATCACAAGGTCATTTACTATAATTGCACAGATAGGAACAATTTTGATAGAAAAACTATCATAATTTTGGAAGAGGTAGAATTTACATAATTTACATCAAATTGAGACCAAACAGGAAATGAAAACAAAAATCTATGGAAATCGAAAAAAAATATTTTTGCTTTGAATTTTAAAAATTATTTTAGAATTGCAAAAATTGTTTAGAAAAAATGAAAAATCAAAGCAAATATACAATACAATCTAAATTAGAAAAAAACACCTAACTTGGGTGAATTAAGCTCTTACATTGTTGAGGTAAAATAAAGAAACATTTTTAAACAAAATCACCGGAAGATGCGATCCCTGATTTATTCCCTACTGTTTTGCTTTATCCATTCGTTTCAATCTCGCTAAAAGAGCAATCCCCATCATCGTCTTTAGAACCATCCTCAAACAAGATTTTCATCATAAACGGACGTCGGGTGCTACGAAGACGCACATATGGATAAGTAGAAACTTCAGTGCTGCATACACGCACCAAAGTGTCGTCCATGTCCAAACATTCTGTGATTGGTGATTTCTAAAATTTATGATAAATTTAGTTAATGAGTAAATCGGCTCTGGAAATCAAAAATAAAAATCAGGAAGACATCTTTTTAATATCACCTAATGTACCTATCTTTAAATCTACTACGCTTAAAAATCAGAAAGATATTCATAAATTCACCCCGAAGTCAAATAGAGAAAATATTCCCTTCTAAATATAACCTGTTTTGCAAAGAAATCATCATAATGTCTTCGATGAATTTCGCTCGTTGATTCTTCCGATTCAGAGCTAAAGAGAGACTTTATCGGTTTATCACGCCGTGCAGGTTTTGAGAGTTGAGTACAACGTCCGTTGCTGACATGATTTGAAGTAGATGTAGCAGTTAACAATAAGCCCGTCTTTTCAGCTCGCATTTTGCATTCTTCCCCGCTTCTTTTACGTGTACATCCTTTCCCAACAGTTTCAGCAATCTTTTCCCAATCTTCGTCCGAACGAGGATTGACAGCAAGTCCCAACGCCATCTAAAATTTAGAAATTAAAAAAATCATCGATTAAAAAATATACCGCTAAATTATTAATTTCCTTTGAACCCCATCTTCCAAGATTTGCTGTTTCCGACTTAACTTCAACACGGGCGCCACGTTTTTTGTTACTTTGAAGAGGAATCCGCGATGAAGGTTTCGTTCGTTGCTGACGCTCTTCTCGAGAATTTGTTTCAGGTTGCTTTACTGGGCTCGCTTTCTTCCGTTGTTGCCGTCGTTTCATTGCAATAACATTGACAGAAAATAAACCTCTGTGAGTTAAATCTGAGAAAAATATGGGTTTTAGTATGGAAAATTTTTTTTTCTTTAAATAGTACGAAAAAACACGATCCTAAAAACAGGAAAAAAAATAAAATTTTTGTGAGAATTTTTATTTTTGGGATATTTTGTCAGCTATAAAACATTTTGCCAAAATTAAATAATTAAATAAAAATTCAAATTGTTTACCTTTCCAATCCTTATGTGTCAAATTTTTATTGGATCTTTAAATGTTTGATTGATTTTTAGATTTTTTAAAAATTCATTTTAGATGTTATTGTAAAAAATATTTTTTTCTAATATTCAGAAGACGCTTATTTTATAAAATGTATTTATTTCTAATTAATTTATTTTATTTATTTCATCTTTTTCCTTCCTTAAAAATTGAAGAACAATGTAAAACCTGCAGAGTTTTATCAAAAACATTTATAGAGGTTGGAATGATTTTTTAATTTTAAATAAATTTTAAAGGGTCTCATTAAAACTGAAAATTTACATTTTGGTGGTGGAAATACTGCTTGGGAAGAGAAAAAGCTTGGAAAATTTAAGACAAGGTAAAAATACTTTTTTTAATTTTTATTTATCTCTTTTAAAGCGAAACTCGTTTTGTTGAAATTATGGAACATATCTGTCAAGATGATGAAAAAGATGAAAGATTTAAGGTTTCTCTTATTTTTTACTCATTCTCTTTCTCGTTTTTAGTGTCATTCACTTGCTGAAACGAATGAAGAACATTTGGAAGACTGGTTTTACAATCGTCAAGAAATTGATCTAAGTTTAGAAACCTTTCTTTGTGTCAAAAAACTCTCCTATTGCTGTGATTCTGGCTATTTTGCCCCTGAATGTTCAGCATGTCCTGGTTTAAAAGAATCCCAAAAGGCGTGTTTTGGACGAGGATCTTGTGATGTAATTTTTAAAATTTTATTTTTCGAGAATATTTCCCTTGATTAAACCCTCAATTGACTTGCTAGGATTTTTTAAATAACGAATTTTATTTAAGGGAGATGGCAAACGTTCTGGGAATGGAACATGTTCTTGTCATCATGGCTATAGTGGAAAATTATGTAGCAATTGTGATTCCAGCTTCTTTGCAATAACACAAAATGCTACATTTATTGAATGTCATGGTCCTCTGATTCTTTATAATTTGGTTATTTTAATTGGAATTTAAAAAAATTAAAAATAAGAAAATTATTTTAAATTTGTTTTTCATTTTTTATCTTTTAAGAATGTTTTGACGGCTGTGGTAGTGGGTGTACTTTTGCTGGACCAAAGGGTTGCAATGCTTGTAGAAGTGGATATAAAATGGATGAGGAAAATGGCTGTATAGGTTTTTAATTAAATTTAGAAATTTTTAAAAATAATATTAAGATGTTGATGAATGCAAGGAAGATGAACAAAAATGTCAAAAAGATAATGAAGTTTGTGTCAATACTCCAGGGTAATTTACATTTAATTTAAAAAATGTTTTACCTTTCATTTGTTTGGAACGGTAAAAATAGGTTGGTTAATATTCAGACATGAGTTTTCGAATTGCAGCCGAATTAAGATTTTGGAATTAGGCAAGGCCCGTAACCAGGTGGGTTGCGGGCCTAACCAGGGTTTTTGGCGCCAAAAATTGGAAGCAGAAAAATTTCCGCTCTTGGCCTCCCCTGAAAAAATCCTGGTTGAGGGCCTGAATTAGGCTATATTTTACTTTGGTGATACATATTAATGAATTTCATCCTAAAATTTAGAAGTAATTTCTATTTTATAGCTCTTATGAATGCAAATGCAAGGAAGGCTACAAACGTTCTAAAGATGATAATTGTGAATTGGATATTGAAGGTTTTATTTTAGTTAATCAAAATTTAATGTTTGAGTCAAAAAATATGAGAAAAATCCTAAAATTTTGTAGCTCACCCTTCTCCATTCTTCATCGGGCCAATTCAATTACTTCGTTTAATTGCATACTTGTGTCTTTTATTGATTTCATTTTTTGTCTTTTTCGCCTATCAAAAACCGTTAGCAATTGGGCTAAATATTCTTACGATTTTTATTGTTGCTTTAATCGACGTGTATTTTTATTTGAATGATGTTGGTGATAAAAGACGGGATGAGACGATATTCAGGCACTTGTTTAAATTTCTAGCTTGTTTTCAGTTTTTAAATTTTACTTATAATTAGTGGGGCTGGTTTTTTTTAGTCGGGTGGCTCTTTCCTTAACCGAATATCTTTGTTGTTTTAATTTACCCAACTTTTATTTTTTTCTATAAAATTTTAAAATTTATAGAAGATGATGAAAAATCTAATGATGAGAAGGAAACTGATAGGGATGACAAAGGGGATGAAGAAAACTTGGAAGATGAGAAGAGCGAAAATAAAGAAGAGCCTGAATTTAAGAAGGATGGTGAAGGTGAACGTGATGAGCTTTGAAAGGATTGCTTTATTGAATTATTTTTCTCACTTCATCATTCAGTGATTCTTTTCTTTTTTTAGGTTTATTTTTTTATTGGGTGCCGGTCAGTTCATTGGATTTAGAAGTTTTTATTTTTCCCTTACACTTACATTAGTCTTTCGTTGTACATAAATTTAGCCTTTAACTGTAAAATTGCACACAAAATTTGATATTAAAAATACAAGTTTGGGTAACTCGAACTGTCCGGGTTTTATTTTTGTTTTCATTTTTACTCTTTCCTTTCTTGTTTTAAATTAATTTGTAACTACTTTTTCTGTTTTATAAAAAATATAAAATTCAATACTCTATTTTTCTTTAAATGTTTCAAATCAAAATTTCTTTTAAATTAAATAATTTTTTATTTTAATTTAATCAAGCTTTAATATGTATTTAAAAAGTTTGGGACTTAAGGAGCAATTAACTGATGTTATTAATGATTTGGAATTGTTAATTAAACAGGTTTTTTTGTGTTTAATTTCTAAATTATAAAATTATTAAAGATACTCGAATGTTTATATATTGACAAGAAATTGACAGAAAATGAACTTCAATCAAATATTTCTTTTATTCTTGAGCAGTACAATCAGAAACAAGCGGAATTTGTTGATTTACTTAATAGAGGTTTTTAAAGAAGTTTTTATTTTAAAAATTAGAATATCTTTTCTATTGTTACCCTCTCATTGAGCTAGAGATTGGTACCAAAATTGATAAGGGCCAGACATTTTCCAAGAGGTTATAGCTTTGCGCCGTTAAGGCAGCGCGTCTACTTGGACGTGTCCCTAAAATAAAATGCTAGCCCCTTTTCTATTATTAATTCATTAATCCAATTATTTCATATCCTTTTTCCCTTCAGAATTCCTCCTTGTACTAATTTTATTAATTTATGTTTCAGTAAATGCACATCAAGAACGAGAAACTTATATTCGAACATTGGAAGGATTGGTTGATTCTCGAGAGAATTTAATTAGCAAAATTGCCAGCGAACTTAAAATTATTGATAATTCTTTAGTTGAGGCAACATTTCAGGTTTTGTAAAAATTCTTTAAAAATATTTTCTTCAATTTATAGGCTGAAAAGAAACTAAAATCAGTAAAACAATCAGAAATGAATCGTGTTTTCTCTGAAGATATTGTTCGATATGCTCATTTAATAAGCAAGAATAATTCCGTTGCTTCCTCTGTTTATTGGCAACAAGGAGATCCATCAAGGCCTTATCCAACTGAAGCAAATTTTAGAGTTAGTAATTTGTTGTTGAGCAGAACACAACAAATGAGTATTATTTTAATTTTTTTTCAAATTTATTTCCTTGGCTGAAAGATATAATTTAAAATTAAATCCAGTCTAACAGTACAACGAATTTCCATTTTCTTTTAGTAATTTAGGCGGGGAGTTTATTAAGGACACTTTAATTACTTAAAGGGAATCCTTTAGAAATAGCAAATTCTAATTATTTTTGTATTTTTTTAATTTTTAAGACCAAATGAATACATCCACAGCTCTTTTTAACATTCCTGGAATGCCACGGCAAAAAACATTTACTCCAAATGCACGCACAGTTTCATCCGCAAATGTTTTTCTAAATGCTTTAGGAGGAACTTCAACAGCAGGAAGTAGTGGTTCACCGAGAGGGCGGCCGCCAGGGAGTGGTAAAGGAAAAGGGATTTTCAGATTTTTTTTGAAAAAATTATTTTAAGGAACTGGTCCACGTCTCTCATCTCCTGCTATGCGTAATATTCCAAAAATTTTACAAAGGAGCAGTTCACAACAAAGTCCTCGCTTCGGAATAATGATGGGTGCTGCTGGAGGTAGTCAACAACAACAGCAAGGTCAAATGGTCAGTCCAAGTACTGCTGCTACAATGCAAGGTGATTGGGAATAGGAAGATATTAGATTATAAAAATTGTTATAAAATCATTTTTGGATATGAGAGGGAGAACTTAAATTAGTTTCTTGATTAAAATGAAATCTGAACTCTGTGTGGCCGCCAGGGTCCAGTGCTAATAAAAAATTTTAGTTGCTGCTCAACAACATCCTCAAGGTTCTTATATAATGTCATCTAGCCAACAACTTCAAATGTCCATAAATTTGCCACCAGGATTGAAACAACAACAAACTTCTAATGATGGAACAATGCAAATTCCAAAAGTTGAACAAATGTCTTCTGATTCAAGTTCTAGTTCAAGCAGTGGAGATGAAGAGGATGGAAAATGACGGATCAGAAAGTTTTTTGAAGTTAGGATATTTTTTGAAATATTTAATTTCAATAATACTTTAGTCCATGTTGAGTTTATTATCAGAAATTGCCTGGTTATTGAAAATTATTTCCTTTATCATCTACTGTCCTATTCTGAAAACTATGTTGATTTTTTGTTGTTAACAGATAATCTACTTTGTTTTCAATTTCTTTCCAAAAAATTGTCAAGTAATTTAATAAATTATTTTTTAATTTTAAAGTGAAAGACTAATAAGAATTAAACAATAAAATCGTATAAAAATAAAATTCTTTACAAAACACAAATTTAAAGATATAATAAGAATTTCATAAATCACTTTCTATCAATATCTACATTAATATACATATACTAATCCCGTTTAAATCATAAAAGAAAGGAGAAAATGAAAGCCAAAATATAAATAAATATTGCTGCAGAAAATAATGAATTATTTAAAGTTAAAGCAATTTCTGAATAATTTCCAAGTGGAGTATTTCCATTATCACTGTTTTCCTCAAGTAAATCTTTTCCACCTTTTGGCAATGGCATGCATTTATCTAAGAGACTGCTAAGTGTGTAGATAAAACGTGGGAGGGGGATGTTGGAATTAGCTTGAGAAATTCGTCGCAAAACAATTGTTGAGAGTAGGAGGAAACTACTGATTAGTAGATTGAAAGAAGTGTATTTTACTTAAATAAAAGTTTAAGTTATTTATTTTAATACACAATTCTCTCGCTTAATTGTCTTTGACTTTGTGATTCATTCTGGGATATTTTACGGGATTGAACCTGCATAGAAACTATATAACTTTAGTTCCTTACATTTATTATTCACTCTGCTAAGAATAGCCTTCAAATAATTTCATCATTTCAGCTGGTCCTTAAATTATACTCCAAAAATCAACTGATTATTACCATTATTTACTCCTCTATTTTGACGGAAAAATGATTTTATTTTAAATGTTAGCTAATCTATCCCGTTGATTCAAGACCTTCCATCTTCCTCAATTAGACAACTAAGAGAGAGTTTAACTTCTCCTTACATATTGTCGGTACTGTTCCAGTATAAGAAGGTAATCGAGCATTTAATAATTGTAATCCCATTAATTGGCACAAAATACTAAAACAAAGCATTGCTGGTTGTCCCAACGCTAATTGAAAGAGGACAGAAGAAAGTGTCAATACAGAGCTAACCAATGCTGGACAGACCATTTCAGTAAAATAATAAACTGCTGAGCGCCGTAATTCAATACAGAGTTCGCAATTTGTGGTTTGAATATCGAAGGGGTTTTGACGCCAGTCACCCAATATTTGCACTGTGTATTTGCTGTCCTTTAAAATTAAAAAAAATATTTTTTTGAGAAACACAATTATTCTCTCAAAATCGCTTCATTACTCTTTAAACTGAAAACCAAAAATTTCCTCACAGAAATATCCAACTGTTCAATATCCCAACCAGAAACATGAGCATCTTGAATAGACTCATGCTGTCGATTACGAACTTCTTCTGAAACAATAAATTTAACAGCAAAATATCTTTTATCATCAAATTGGTAGCAAATACGTTGACGGTCCTTGGGGAAGTCTTGATATTCAAAATTGAATGGAGCGACAAAGTTGAAGTCTAAAAATGTGATTTATCTCTCATTTACTGTCATCAAAAAATATTTTTAAAAATCCAAAATATTAAAATATATAAACTTGCCAGTCCACATAAATACTTGTCCAGTATAGTTTGCGGCTAATACTTTTCCTGTTATTTGTCCAGGAGAAGGATTAGGACTGTTTTTTATTAAATTCAAATAATTTTTAAATTTATGTATTTAACCAACGCGTTAATTTGTAAAAGTTGTGGTGTCCACACCTGTACCCAATAGAAGTTTAGCCAAGACAAACCCCAACTTTCTCTATCCCAGCTAACTTTGGAGTCATTCCAGGAAAGTACAAGTCTTCCAAAAACTCGAGCTTGTTCTTTATTTTCATCCTTTTTTGGGAGGGAGAATTGTCTCTTTAATTTTCAAATCCACTTACAATTTCCATATGTTGTATTCTAACACTTTCAACAGAAACAAGTCTTGTAGCATTTGCAGAAGTTGAATTATCATAGTTTTTAGTTAATTCACTTCGTAATTGCCAGGCACGATCACCGCCTTGGCAACTTTGACAGGACTGTCGACAATTTGTCATCATCCTTTAATTAGACATAGTATAATAATAATTTGTATTATTTGTGATCTTCGTTAATTTTCGGTTTTCCGTCTTTTTTTCGGTTTTCCGGATTTAATGGCATTAAACAGTTAAAGTCAATTAATTTTCATAAACATCTCAGTATTTAACAAACAAAAAAATTAATTAACCAAATAGCATTAGTTTGGCATTCTCCTTGACTAGCCCATAAAGAACATTTTGGATCCGAATCAACACAATTTGTTTGGACAGGAGAATTATTTTCTTTATTATTATTTTCCTTTTCTTGAGCTGGCAATTGTTGATCAGCATTTAAAATTAAAATATTTAAAGAAAATATTAAATAAATTGTTAATGATTGTTGAGTTAATATTGATAATATTTTTGTTTGACATTTAAATGTCATTTATAAATTACTATTAAAATTTTTAGAGAAATTTTATAATTTGAGAGAAGTTTTTTTTGGATTGAGAATTTGCGGAAAAAAGAAAGTTTAGAAAATCGAGATGAACTTCATTAGTAAAACAAAGAAGCGTCATTGGTAGGGTTGGGATTTTCGCGTCAGGCCAACGTTCTTGTCATTTTTTTGGGCCGGTTGACCGAGTCAAAATTCGATGCCCGATTCGAGGACCGGATCGGGCGCCAACCCTAATCATTGGATACAAAGATTACCTCGCTCTCCCACAAATATATTCCAAAGCTGTCTGTCCTCGCCCATTTATATTAATATTCAAAAAATAATTATTATCCCCAGACCACCCAAAAATTAAAAAAAATAAATTGTTTTTCCGGGTTTAAAGCAAAATACTATAAAAATTATTTACTTATTCTTATTTAATGTCAAAAGATTTAATTTAATGAGAAAAGTTTTTAATGTTCTATTGGTGGCGGTTAAACGCGCAAAACAAGAAAAGGTAAATTTATGTAGGTGGACGGAAGAAATAGAAAAATGATTGGATTGATGGAGAAAGATTGTGAAAGGTCCGTCAATTTATTTTTTATTGAAAAAAAATGAAAGTAAAAGTTTTTTAAATTTATTTTCCGTTTAAAGTGATAAATAAAAATAAAAAAAATATAATTAAAATTCTTAAAGTTTAAACTGAAACAAACTTCGAAGGAGAACAAGGTAAAATTGCTCAGCTTAGATACTGAATTTTCTGTTGACAAAAATTTAAATTTGCATTTTAATTTTTTTCCTATCTAGATGGATTATTAAATAATTCAAAAGGTAAAATTATACCAAAATATCAATCAACTTTTACAACTTCAAAGTCTCCAACTTCAAAGTCTTATCTTGAGCCTGCCAAAAGTACTAGAATTGATAGATTTTATTTAAAAATTAGCTCCCTTATTATTGGGATTTAAATTAAAGTCCAAAGAGTACATTAAAATAATTTTTTCACAGCTAGACTAATTTCATCATTAAAAATTTGATCATTGATATTATTAAGGGCAACAAACAGGGAATAAATTAAAAATTAATTTTTATTAAATACCGTGCCATTTTGTGTCAGTCTAACGTCTAAAAATATTTAATAAGTCTGTGAAGATTGTAAGGATTTTAATAAATATTGTCTCTAAATAATTAACAATTCCATTTGAATAACTTGAAAAATAGTTACTTTTAAGTCACTTATTAGAGAATATTAAAGAATAATTTTAAAAAATATTTTTTTGTATTATTTTAAGTTATGTCATTAGAAAAATTTGTCCCTTCCATATATCACCCAATCTTTTGAAGCTATCTCCTCCATATCATCTATATCCCTCTTAATTACTCTATATACCCGAATCTCCCCGATATCCCTAAATTTTGAAGATTTGGTAATTATTATTATTTTTTTATTATTATTTCTTTTCCTTCCAAAAAATTTTAATACAAAATAAATTTAATAGATTATATTAAAAATAATGACAAAACTTAATTAATTTAAAATAAAAACAACCAAAAATGCTAAAAATTAAAACTATTTTTCTAAAATTATTTTTAACTGTTTATTTATTAAAAGAATTAAAAGGACAAATTTCTATTCAAACAAACAATGCAAATAAATATTTTCCTCAAAATCAACAATCTCCACAAGTATTTACTTTAAATTCATTAACAATAAGAAATGAAAAAATAATTATAGAAGGACATATAAAAACATTTTTGCCATTTGAACATAAACTTTTTATTAATCCAATTGTGAAGGAATGTGAAAGTAAATTATTTTTTGTAAAAAAATTTTTTTTATAATTTTAATTAAATTAAAAAAATTTTCTTTGTATTGTAGATCCTGTAAAATTATTTATTGATAAGCACAAAATAAAATAAAAGTTTGAAAAATATTTTTAAAAACACTAAAAAAATTTTTTTTACAAAAATTTCTTCCTCATTTTATAGAACAACCTAATTCTCATTTTCATCCATTCCATTTAGTAAATAATAATGTCAGATTGACATATTTTTTAAATTCATCTGAGGATTTAATTAAACATAAAAAAGGAATAAATATTTGTATTGAAGTTAAAATTAAAGAAAATATAATTAAAAGATTGGTAATTTAATTTTAAATTTATAATTGTAAAGCATATAAATAACTATTGAATTCCAAGGCTGCTATTTAATTCCATTGCGCCGACATATTTAAAAAATAAATCGCCGACTTTCGGTAATACATAAGTCAGTCCGGCAACTAAAGATTCTGGTTCTCTTCCAGCAGCCTAATAAACTTTTGTATTATCTGAAGAAGAAATAGTAGTTATAAATACTTAGGCTTTATTTAAAAAATAATTTTTAAAGGAACTTATTAAAATTTTTCCTCTTTTAATTGAAAATATTAATTGGGAAATAAAAGAAGAAAATAGCCAAGAAAATTATTTTGATGACAATAAAGCTATTTTATTTCCAAAAAATAATTATTTAATTTTAACAAAAATTGAAGGATTATTAAAAGGAGGGGTTAAATGTAAAGGAAAATTCCGTCCACCTTTTGGAAAAAAATTTTGTAAATTTTTTGTAGACCCGGCAAGTATTGATAAACAAAAATCACTTCAAAATCTATCTTTTATTGAATTTTTTGGAAAATTTAAAAAATTGGGAAATTATTTTTTATCGGTTATTCCAAAAATAAATATTCTGTTTTTTTCTCAAGATAAACACCACAATAAGAATCTCTTATTTTTGTGTAAATAAAATTAGTTTTTGTTAAATTATTTTGTTTATCCTTTAAATTAATTTATTTAAATATTCTTTTTTTAGAAAATTTACTTTATAAACTTTTAAAAGTTTATAAAGTAAATTTTCTAAAAAAAGAATATTTAAATAAATTAATTTAAAGGATAAACAAAATAATTTAACAAAAACTAATTTTATTTACACAAAAATAAGAGATTCTTATTGTGGTGTTTATCTTGAGAAAAAAACAGAATATTTATTTTTTGGTGATTTTTAATTAAAAATTAACAAAAAAATTTTTTAGGAAATTATGCGGATGTCGCTTTGCGAATATTTTCCCAATTAATCATATTTATTTTCCTTTCCGGTCGTTTATAAAAAATACTTTTTCCCAACAATTCCTAAGATTAAAGAGATAAAACTTCCTTATATAAACAATTCCTATAAACTCTTTTCTCAGCTTTTTCTGTATTCAGTTCTTTTATGTGTTCATTCTTTTTCTAATACTTACAGCTTAGTAATCGCACTAGCTGATTTCTTATTACTCTTTGTTCCCTACAGCCTAGACTTGGCTGAACACTCTTTTTTCTTATCCCATAATTCAGCTTATTCAATAAGCCTTTAACTTTTCTTCCTTTTAATTTAAATTGTTAATATTCTTTGTGTAAATAAATATTGGTAAAATATTTGTGTTAGACTTTACTGAGCCTTAGGGGTTTAATTCGGAAGTATATTTTTTCTTTTTCCGACAGCTCAGCCGTTTCCGAAACAAATCTCTCTATACTCCCACCCTCACTTTTTTGGTAAAAAAATGTCGTTACACCTCCGCACCCAAATTTCCCTCTTGTTTTCAGAGGCCACAGAGTTACTGAACACTAAAAAAGAATTCCTCGTCCCTCCTAAAATTGGAGGTCAGACGGAGGATGAGTATAAGTTAATAATAGAAGGTATATTGGAAGATTTAACCGCTGAACAGGTAGAAATAGCGGAAATTTCAACTCAACTTTCCGATGCAGATGATAAATGGACAAATCTCCGTACCAATATGACAGGTAATGAAAGGTTGCAGGACAACACAGAATATGATGCATTTATAATTAATGTCCCCTTTGCTCAAACAATGTCCGACCTCCGTCGGTATCTCCGTCTTTTGCGGTCTCAACGCCGCCGTTTAGAACATTTAATCCCAAAGGTGGAAACCACTATACCCGCAGCCTCTTCTTTAATCCACCTTCCTAAAACCGAACTTCCCTCATTTTCAGGAGACTGCGTCTCCTTCCTCTCTTTTTGGAATACTTTCAAAGCAGGGGTCCACGACCTGCCCCTTGCTGACTCTATTAAATTCACTTATTTGAAACAATGCCTTTCCGGCCCACCTCTTACTCTAATTAATGCTCTACCCATTACTGATGGGTCATATTCTATAGCAATTGAACTATTGCGAAAAAATTATGATAATCCTACAGAAGTAGCCCGATCTTTACACAACTCTCTTCGTAAATTGCCGCATGTCCGCGGGGGTGATAACTTCTGTGCTGACCTTCGTAATTTACTGGATCAATTAGAAGGTATCTGTGTCCAAATGTCCCAACGTAATCAATCATTCGACACTACCTCCTTCCAGATGGAGGTCGAAGAACGTTTACCCAGTTTTGTACTGGATGAAATTTTTAAATCTAAAGAAGAAGACCATGAATGGTCATCCCTCAAGCTTAAGGAGAAGCTCCACAATATCCTAAAAAGGAAGGAACAAATCGAGACATTAACATTAAATTCCACCTCCCTTCGGAGTCCCATACCCTCTTCAATCTCGAAATCACCCCAAATTTCTAGAACTCCGAATAATATCCCAACTCTCACGTTTAATACTCTAAGAAAGGAAAATAATCATAGCCCACCTATGCAGACATTGTATAATGAAGCCCAAACTCGTATAACGAATTTTTCTAACCAGACAATAAATGGCTATTCCCCTCATAAATCTCCACCTAAAAATAATCCTACAGGCCAAATTTCCAACTCAAAAGGTCAATTATCTCCCAATAATAATGGGCAAACCCCAAAAGGAATAAAAACATTCTCTCCTAAAAAACACAAATTAAAGCCTCCAAATAAGGAGCCTCTTGTTTCTAACACACAATTGAAAAATCCCAAAGAACTTTTTGGGCCAAATCGTTTCTCATGCCGTCCTAAATTCCATAGAATGAATGGAGAACATCAAATTCGTCCTCTTTTCCCTGTGGACA